GGTATCATTTTGCAGTCAAACTGATGCAAGATATTGCTAAATACATCCGCTTCTGGAATAACTGCTTAGGCAGACTATCTAGGTTGTAGCTGTATTGATCTAGAGGAAAAAGCAATCGGGGCTCGTGGACAGAGGTGATAGCTTTCATTAGACCTAATTAGGTCTAATGAAAGCTATCACCTCTGTCCACGAGCCCCGATTGCTTTTTCCTCTAGATCAATACAGCTACAACCTAGATAGTCTGCCTAAGCAGTTATTCCAGAAGCGGATGTATTTAGCAATATCTTGCATCAGTTTGACTGCAAAATGATACCAATAAAAAATATTCTTAATCATATCCTGCTTCTCAGGCATTCCTTCAACCATCACAGCTACTGTAAAACTACCAAGCAGTCGCACCCTATTTTGTGCGTGCATCTCTGAAGTTATATCAGGTCCTGGGTATGACTAAACTGCAGCCGACTGGAGGACCTCGTGGGAACATGGCGGGGCTACTCATGGTGGAGTAGCTGCTATAAAATACCACAACATCCAGAGTAAAGCAAATGTAGGGTTCCTCAAAACCCTAGCCCCCATTGTCTTGTGGGTACTCCTTGGTTGAAGAAAGACTAAGGAACATCACCCTAACAGAAATGCACCCTCAATGAGCTGTTAGGCAGTCAGCAATATCTCTAACCTGTCTCTCTCTGGCAGAATCTCACTCTGGCCTTTGGACTCTGTTTCGATGACCTAAGGGGGTGGGGATGGTAGGTCCTGGGCAGCCTCCTCTCTTCCATACTCTTGCCTTGGTGTATCCACTGAAGGTCTTGGGTGTGATGGTTGCATAGACCTCTTGTGTGTACACCATGATCCAGAGTATTGATAGTTGCCAAGTGAGGCTATCTGAAGTCAGTACTCTGCACTTTGTGCTTTCAGACTATTTCTCCAATTTCCCAAGATGATTTTGAATTCTGGGGCCTGTCCCAAGTGCTTGCAACTCCTTTTTTGCTTGCCACTATCCACAGGTGTTATAACAGTGCTAGCTCAGGGGAGATGCACAACACCAGGGTACTATCAGATGTCAATCAGTATTATTTTTCAGTAGAAGGCACAAAAGGAGCAAAGAGATCTGATGGTCCATCTTTATTATCTGTAGCCAGCTGAGGTTAAACAGCTATGAAAAAAACAAGCCCAGCACTCAATTGGCTGACAGAGAACAACTCAAACAAAAATGAGACAAATGCATTTTCTCACTACTTGCTTTTAGCTTTGCTAGCTTCAGTGTTTAATGAATCCCACACCATTCCAAGCCAACCATCTCAAGTTAAAAAGAGTAGGAAGCCTGCAGAGGGAGGCTGCACAACCTTTCCCCTGGAATGACTGTGGATCTGTGGCAGAAGGGGAGATGTGAAACAGAAAGGATGACAGCAGGGATGATATGGGTAGCAGGGTGAGTTTGTGTTAAAGCAAGAGAGTGGAACCCAAATAACCTGACATCTGTTCCTAGCTCTGTTTGCAACGCCATTAGTCATGTCACTTATAAAACTGGGTAATTTTTTTCACTTGAAAAGTTTATTTGACACCCCCCCCCCCAAAAAAAAATCTTATTTTTAAACGGCAATGTTTTCATTTTGGTTTCTTTGAAATTAAACATTTTGATTTTATTTCAAAATAGTGCTTTGCTTAGTTTTGTTTGAGGACAAATTCATCATTTCAACTGACCTGACTCTTCCCTGTCTCCACATTTGGAGGAAACAGAAACAACTCTGTCAAAAATACCCAAAGGCCCTCCAGTGGGGGGGTTTTCTTTGAGGGGGGGAAAGGAGGAGGGAGGGCTTTAGGGGAAAGGAAGGTAAGTTCTTTGGGAGGAAATGAAACTGGAAGCTGGTTAAGTTTTCGCTGAAATTTCAAAAATTTAAAAAAAAAATTCCTTCGGCTCCAGTGATAGCACAAACTGCCCTGAATGAATGCAGCGATTCACAGAGTTGCATAGAGACTCTTCTATAACAGAATACAGGTTGGCTTCTGCAAGGATTTGCTCAGGTACATAGGCTTTATACATTGTGAGTAGCTCCACTAAAGCCAACGGTATTCTCAGTGCATACAACCGTACAGATGCATCAGTCTTGGCAGAATTTGACTGATCTATAGAGTTACCCCACCCAAAAGACAAAACCCTTTATAGTGGATTTGTACTCCTTACCTCCTGCCTGAAAGCTTTTCGGAAGCCATTATTGCTGCTGGGAGCAAAGGCCCGGCCTGGCACACAGCTCACCACAGCAGGCATCCCATTCTCACAGGTGACATTATTTTTATTGTCCACATTGAGACGACTGCCCAGTTTGCAGCTGGAGATATGAGCCTCATTGCCAGTGCACTCCACGGAGTAACCCCAGTAGCTTAGCTTCTTCTTTTTGGCAAGCATCCTTCAAAAAGAGGAATCACCGGAGAAAGACAGTTAGTGAAAACTATTAAAAAGCAGAGAAAGGAAATCTTTCACTGCTCAACAGCCAACCTGTGGAACTTCTTGCTCCAGGAAGTTGCCAAGACAAATACAATGGTGTGAATTTTAAAAAGTACTGGCTTAACCCAACATCCATTACGAATTTTCTAGCATACAGACCAACATAGAAAACAGTACTATCCCTTTTAGTTGTATATATTTTTCCTCTGCTTGGACCAGGGAGATACAGGCCTGGTCTCTGATGATGCAGCCCCACTGTCTCTGGTGCCTGAGTTAGCATGATTCAAGGCTGGTTACATTTCTGCCAGCTCATACTACAATGATTTCCCAGTCATGTTTTGGATGTACCTGTAGTCAACAAGCTGAGAACAGCAACAAAGGACTATCCTTCGAGTATTAGCCACGTAGCGGGACGGACATACTTGGCCATTGTCTCACACTTGTGCAGCTCTACCTGAACCATGCAGAAGATGTACACAAATGCACAGATGCTCACTTAGTAGAAAGCAAAAATGCAGGGATTTTTGTACTCCTGCACATGCACACTGGTTCAACACAAATAATGCTGGTGCCATTTGAGGCTTTACGAGAATTTAGCCCCTACCACAGCTGTTGTGCTGGCAGGCATTACCCTATTAACTGGAAGAAAGAGGCAAACTTAGGACAGAGTAAGGGCTCTCCATCTTCTTCCAAAGTGACAGTATTGGCAACCTCAAGCCTAAAGATAGTTTTTGAGAGCAAGAGCAATTCTCTTGATGACACATTTGCAGCACAGAAGATTGGCAGCCTTTTCCAGTGCTTGCTTCCCAACTGGAACATCTCCAGCAAACCCCCTGGGCTGTAAAGGGGTGATAAGCCAGTGGAAGAAAATAATTCAGCATCTTCCAGACAGATACAAAAGGCCAGGGCTGCATCTGAGTTAAAGCAGTCGATAAAAAGTTTCCAAGCACCACCACAGGAGAGATTCTGAAAACTAAAGGATAATTAAAGCACAGAGAAGCCAACAGCCAACTGTGATCCTGCACTGTCTTTGCAAGAGCCTGTTCCTCTGTTCTGGTGTTAGCAGCAAATGAGACATTGTGGTCCTAAAATTAGATACGATGCAAAACATATGGAGGTGGAGAGAGTGCCAGAAAAAGACTTTGATTGATTGTAGCATTGGCCTCATAAGACAGACAGAAAGGGGTGAGTGGGTCTGAAACTCAGTGAGTCTCAAGCTTAGGGAGCTGGTAAAACATTAAAATCTTTCTGTGCAGTTATCAGATGCAATCCAGACAAAATGGGTAGTGACTCAACATTTTACTCCCCATCTGGCAGCAGTTTGGTGGGTCTGTGTGAAAGAAACTGGAAGATCTCAGCCCACTTCACGGTGGCATGTGTCCAACATAAGAAAAGAGAAATCTAGGCTAAAACGGCTTATGGATACTGTGCTACCCTCCCTAGAGCAGGACTCCCCCCAGGACAATGTACATTGCTATAGAGCAGTGGAGGCTAACTTGTCTGTCCAGTTCTTTATTAATTTAAATTAGTGTTCTCACTGGCACTAATCTAAAAAATAGATTTATATTAAGGTTCAAAGTAGACCAAAATACTAAGAAAAAGGAATACCAGGGGAAAAAAACAACTTTGTAATTTCATTGAAATTGTGAAATTCAAGACATTTTAAACAGCTCCTCTCCTGCCATCAGCTATCTCCACTCTGATTGCAGCTCCATAGAAAGCAACTGCAAAAGTTTAAAAGGGATTTTTTGCCTTCCTCTGTAGCAGGGGCATGGGCCTCTAACCTGGGATCTCTTGAGCATCTATTGACAACATTTCATAGAAGCAGGATGTTAGCTGCTGTGGTTTCTCCTGCTTTTCCTGTGGCAGGTTAGGGTGTTTTGTCAGGGTTGATGGTAGTCTTATTCAGAGTTTAGACCAGGGGTGGGCAAAATGCAGCCCGAGGGCCAGATGCAGCCCTCCAGGCCATTCTATCTGGCCCATGGGGCCCCTAAAAAATTTAGAAAATTAAGATTTATTTATTTAGAATATTTATTTATTTATTTATTTAGAAAATTAATATTTATTGGCCTCTGGCTGCCTGTCATGCGGCCCTTGATGGCTTGCCAAAACTCAGTAAGCGGCCCTCTGCCCAAAATAATTGCCCACCCCTGGTTTAGACTGTGGAGATACTGGAGGATCCTGCCTCAGGCAGGGGGTTGGGCTTGGTGATCCCTGGAGGTCCCTTCTAGCAAACAATAGTACTAAGGGTATATCTAACAGTGAGGAAACAGATTAAGGGGAAATAAAGAAGTACTAATGGCCACTCCTTTCCCAAAGGCTGAGAGATGGATCCTTGGATATTTAGCAAGAGCCTAATGGAATTAAATGCATCTAACCCACTAAAAGTTCATGAGAATTGTGTATCTAACTCCCTTAGACTTCAGTACGACAATAAGACGTGACCTTCATCAACTAAAAGTGAATGGCTCACTTGGGAACACAAGCAAGGAAACAGATTCTGTAAGAGATCCTAAGGGAAATCTAGAACAAAACTGATTCCACTGAAGTCACTCCAAATTGACAGCAGTCTCGCAGGCATCACAATTTGGCCCTTTGTTGGGATATTCATGGTGGGTTATTTTAGCATCTTCTTACCCCGATCCTACATTTGCTAAAAAAATATATATAGCGTATTAACAGCATTTGCACTGGGATCTCCAGACCTACGACACATGTGGGCAAAGAGTTGCACAGATTTTTACGAGCAGGCAGGGAGAGGCATCTGACTTAACCAGCAAATAAAAGGGACATCTTAATAGGAAACAGAGGAGCAGAAAATGAAGTGGTCATACAGCCAAAAACACTGGGGAAAATTCATCTCTGGTACAACCAACTGAAGCCAATTAGCTTGGCCTACGTGCCAGGAGGTCACAGAAGGATGAGCTAATCCGTCCAACTACATTAAGGAGAAAAATTCATTAGTGGTTCTCTTCTCTGACGTCCACACAGCTGGATTGAGCAGGCTTGAGGCTCCCATTTCTGGGTATCCTGATGGACAGCATTTCCACCCTTAACTAACTCCCCCTGGCAGGCATCTGCTTAAGTGAGAAAGTCTCCCTGTTCCAGCCTCATTGAGTTAGGCAGAGGAGCAGCCACATCCATCTCCATCTGCTGAAGCCCAGGAGACTTTATGTTGCCAGTTGGAATCCGTGGAGAATACATTGTTCAGATACGGGTGCAATTAAGTGCTCCATAAATTCTAACAGATGCATCACCTAACAAAGGTTGTGTTAAGGTTGAAAACATCGGCCAGCTGCAGAGAAAATGCACACAAGACAAGAATTCCTGTGATCAGTTCCTAGCCTCACTCTACCTCTTTTGGACAAGCAAATGGACTGCTGAGCACCTTCTGCTGACCCCAACAAAAGTTTCAGGGACCTGGCATAGCAGACCACAAACCTGTACGCATCCCAGCTTGTGCCTTTTGTAAAGTGGAACTAATATTATTTGCCTCTTTCCACCAGGGCACAGCTTTGAGGAAGGATGAGTTAAATGAAAGCTCTTATATAAACAGCTCTGGAGAACAAACAAAAGCATGGAAAATGTGCTAAGACTTGTTATGTTTCCTACATAAATTGCCTTGTCAAATGCAAAAAAAAGTAACATTCAAGAATAATAATAATAGAAAAAAAATCCTTGGCAGGAAAATGATGATGAACTAAGTTGTTTTCTTTTAAGCAGGGTCCATCTGCAAATCATTTCACCTCCCACCATCATGCAAAAACAGAGCCCAATATCAGTTAGCTCCGCCTGTAAAGCTAGCTAGCAGAGAATGGGATTTCTGTGGGTTCAGAAGGGGGCGTTTTCAACTCCCAGCCAGCGCAATTACAAAGCCAGATGAGAAACCCAACCTGTAGTCTCGTTTCCGAGCTGCACAACAACAGTGTGAAAGGTTTCACTCTTGGGACATAGGTATTTACAAGTTATGCAGAGTGCAGCCTAAGAAATGAAAAAAAGTTACAAGCCTTCAAGCTCACGTGGAGAAAGGGCTTGTTCCAAGTGACCAGTAAAAGGCAGAATCTCCCCTTCCCCAAACCACTGTGTGACATGACTAGAAGGTGGGTGGAGTGAGCCATACACTGGGCCCTCAGCCCTTGGAAGAGAACGGTACAAAACAATTGGTATCCTAGCTTCCAGGGGAGGACCATAGAGAGACCAAAGCAAAGACCATCTTTGACATCTACAGACCAGATTTCACCCGGGACCAGAGGACGGGAGTTTTACTTGGTCCCAACATGCCTGCAGCAGAGCTGATCCAATTCAGTGCAGTCACTAGTTCATTGTCTTAAGGAGACTCTATGTCTTATTTACAGGCTCTCTCTACCTTGGGGCACAAATACAATGCTACAGGGTGACAACCACTGGAAGCTGAATCTTGTATACATGTCAGCCCCATAAAATTGGGATGCATGCATTAAGCAGAGAAGTAGACTTTTCTGCCCAGGATAGAAGCACCCCATTTTAATTCCTGCCCACAGTGCAGAAGTTGTGGTATTATTATTCAGACAGCCAAAGTAGTCAATTTGGCTCATTGTTCTTCACTCCATAGGTGTTAGTGATCATTTTGCTTTTCTAATGGTCTTAATATTTCAAGAATCAAGACAGTCTTTCTCAGGTTTTTGCTAGCTGTTCCTTGCCTCTCTACTTCTAATTCACAGGCCTGGAAACTCTTCAGCTCTTTCAAAATCATTGATTCATCAATGGAGACCAGTCTTCAGCAGCAGCTAGGGTTGCAGCTTTAGTAAATCAGGAAAGGAAGGGTAAGCCAGCTGAAATTAGGCTCTGCTCCCCTCTACAAAGACATAACCCTGGAAAAAACATCTATTTTTCTGTCTTTTAAAATAAAGTACATATTTTATTCCGGGGCAGGTGTATGCAGGAAAATATGGTGTTATGTATTCTATATATGTGGAATAATATACTATAGTTATTAAGTATATATGTCTTACATCTCCACATACATTATATTATACCTCATACATAACTGAACACATTATAAATACACACATATGATCCAATTCCCAATTCTTAGAGGTAAACCATGCCAGCCAGAGCTTACCTCATGCTAAGATATTATATGGAAAGATGCTTTAGGTAGCTAGAGCCACAACACTATGCACTATTGCTGGATAAAGGATCACTGCCGAGCCATCCTTTACTTATACAGTCATTTCTAGCTATTAAATGTAAAGGTCCTTCTTGGAGACATCTATAAATGAAGAGCAGGAAGGATCTACTTTGTCTTATTAGGACAAGCTTATTTTGCCATGTGGCTCTAATGGATAGGGCTGGAGCACAACAGTGCCTCTGAGATAAGCTCTCTCTCCAGCTGGGGCAAGATAATGCACATGGCTGGAAACATGTGCCACTGTAACCCAGAGCAAAGCACAAGACTGTCTGGCAGCAATTATTTCTTCATTGCTCATCCACCTTCGAAACCTGAAAACAAGAGTCCAGTTGAGTCTTTTCTTTGCTGGTGCCGCTATGTGGCTTTATACTATTTCCAACCCAGGGACCTCTTCCATTGATCATCATCTTACTAAGAAAAGCATGCGATACAACCAGGCTACACCAAGGAGAACCTCCAGAAACAGCCTTCATGCGAAACAAAAGAACAAGCAAAACAACCACAATTATGCCTTCAAGAATTGCATCCTCCCTCAAGCAGCTTATGCTGTGGTCGGCTTCTGGAATCAGAAGCCTGGGGAAGAAGCTTATTGGCATGAGAGCCTAAGGCAGATGTGAAATAGCTTATTTATAGCAAACTGTACAGAAAACAGTTCTTGTGTGTCACTAGCTAGAGACAAAAACAAGCCTGCAGTGTGTAAGCTTGCAATGGGCAAATGTCAGACATCCTGCTGGATTTGTTCTGCACAAGCCAAAAAGGAGAATGAGGGGTCACCCCAAGTCCCTGTGTTCACTTCCCTCATTTTGAGTGCTCCAGGCTTATTTCGAAGTGCAGCACTGAAAGCCCAATCTGTCCTGCCAGAAACAACCTTGGAAGCCCTAGGACAGACATTTTAAGCATTCTGTCCTTTGCCTCTGCTCAGTGCAGGACTAAGTGATAGGGTGATTAATACAGCGGAGGCAGCTGGCAACCCAGGTAGGCAGGATTGCCAAGACCAGTGGAGCTGAACTGGTGCTGGCAACAGTGGGAGATTTATTGGAAAATGTCCCCCTTGCAGATGGCTCCCATGTAGGTAACCAGCAACTGACTCACAACCCTTACATGCAGTGACTTGGCAGCCAAGCAGGCCAGATCTACAGAGGGTGAGCCCAGGTGAGAGCCAAATGGCAAATGCTTGGTAAACCCCAGGTAAATATGTCATCATAGGTATGAGAAAGTGGATTGTATGCCAGGGAGGGAATGAGGATTCCTGTGCTATGAGACAACACAGACTGGCTTTGTTGCAGTTCTCTTTCATTAAACCTTCCATCATGCCACATGCCAGCCCCAATCCTGCAACTGGCTGCATGGATCTTGGGCTACAAGGATCAGACTATCACATATTTATTTATGCAGACACTTACACTCGCATACATATAGCACAGTACCCAGAGCCACAAAAGATTAAAAGAAAGGAAGAAGAAAGAGAGCCAACACAGGACTATGCAGTAGCAAGTAATGAAAGAGGCCTACTGGATCAAGCCCATCCCTGTGCCAAAACAGGATAAATCTGACATTAATTTCATGTTACACTTAATGTTCGCCAAAGGGTGGGAATCAAACAAGCCTCGTGTACTCCTAGTTACACAAGGAAGTGCCTGGCGTTTAAAATGTTTACACAAAAGCAAAATCTGATCTAAAGGAATGAAGCAGTTAACTGAGGTTTTTCCACCTCCCGGTCTTCAATTTAGTTTGAAATGGGTGTGTTTGAACAAGGCCTCGAGTGTTCAGGAAACATGACTGAGACTTATAAAAAGCTCTGCTCTTACTTGTAGACCTTGGCGTTATATTTCTTCTCGCCTGGAAAGCCAAACATGCCACAGATGACTCGGGAATTTTTTGTGGTCCAGTGTTTGTCACAGATCTGCTTCCAGTTCCCTCCTTCTTTCACCTCCACGTAACCCTCCGTGACTGGCACGCGCTTGCGGTAGGTAGCGAGAACCGCTCGGATTCTTACATCTTCCACCTGGATGTTCATATTCTACAAGTTAAAAAAAAAAAAAAAAAAGGATATTTTAAGGATCCACCCTAGGGAGGCAACAGGGTCTAATGGTTACAGCAGGGGAAAAGGAGTGCCTGACACACAAGCCGAGATCTCTACTTCAAACTCAATAAACTGCACAAACCACTTTGATTTCTCTGCCTTTAAGTCATCAGGGAGAGAGAAAAAGAGATAGACACCATGATACCTTGTTCCCCAGTTCTACCACTAACCTTTCAGGCAAAGTCCGGTAGCCTATTTCACTTCTTTATGCTTCAGTCTCTCTATCTTACAGAAGAACTGGTGTTTAACCACAAGCAGAAATGTGTGGTTGTGTATGTGCCAATGTTCAGTTGCTGGATCTTTTACAGTTAAAGGGGTAATTCAAATGGGGTGCTTCTGAAGTTTCTGCTAAGATATTTTTATGGTTTAAATAAAGCTTAGTCTAGTGCACTTAAAACATACCACACATGCACACCACACAGGCATCGTTGCTTTATTACATGGAAAGGGTACCATTTTTATTTTGGGTATTTCAGCGGTTTAAGGATTCCTACTCCTAGGAGCACAAGGGCAGACTTTAGGAACACCTGCCTAACTAAAGGTCCAGCTGCAGCAGGTCGGTCACCCGCTCTCCATGGGCCAACTCCTGTGGCATCTTTCCATGTTGGGATAAAGAATATGATATACCATAACGGGGGAGAAGGTGGTTAAGGCGAGGAGAGACCTTCTGGATGGCATTTCAGGTGTTCCTAGCTTTGGGCCTAAAAATCACAGTTCCTGGGTCTGAAGCTACCCTGGTGTTCACCATCTGAGGATCTGACCACAGGATCATAAAAATGAGCTGGAACTGAAGTTAACATCATAAGAGGAGCCTATTCTCATATTATTTTGCACAGGGTCACAAGAGGCCATCATTATTATGGAATGCATCAGTTCAACCTGACTTTGTAAAAGCCAAGGGAGCAGTCTCAGAGTAGGCGCTGACATGGAGGATGGCACAGTGTTTAGGGCACCACTTGGGGTTCAATTCCTTGCTCTGCAACAGGCTTCTTTGGTGACCTCTAACAAGCCCCTGACTATGCTCAGTTCCTCAGCTGCAAAATGCAAACACCACTGTCCAACATCAAGGAGATAATGTGATGATAAACACAGTAAGGATATGTCTGACAGCATAGACTGCTGAGATATCTACTAGAAAAAATCCTTTCCATGTTGCATCTGAGTCACAGGCTGGCTGACTGGTTCCTGCTGGAACGTTTAATATTCAATGCTGCTGGCTGCTCTCTGCTGTTGTAACTTTGTCAGGATGCCCAAGACTTTACGTAGGTGTCCCTTTTTTCTATGACTTAAATCTAAATGCATACATACCAGAAATTTCTCTCTTATAAGTGTAACACAGCAGGAATTAAAGTCATCCAAGAGAAAGGAAGAGTTCACACTGGCTCTATAGAGTCAAAGTTGTTTGTCCTAAGCTAAGAGAGGTCATGGACAAGAATTAGCTTGCGTAAGGTAGCATAAGGACCTATATACATTTGTAGATATGTAGATGGACCCTCCAGAGTCCATGAGCACTGGGCTATGCCATATCTTTTAAAATACTCAGTGTCCTTAACTCAAAGGCAAGGGGCAGTTCTCAGGCTGACATACCTAGAGTGTCTCAAGAAGCACTATAATACACAGCTCAGAGGAAAGCATAATTTACTAGAGCTGGCATAAAAGGCTGCAAATATGCCCAGGGGTGGGCTGCACAAGAAACATTGCTGGCAAGCCTATGCCAGCATAATCATATCCTACACATTAACACGTGGGCACTCACAAAGCAACAGTAGCTCAACTGGAAAAAAGCACTCTGGTGCCAGAATAAGACCGTCTACACAAGGATGTGGGGTATACATGGCCATACAAGTACATAGGATCTAATGCAATGAGTCAATTGTTGGGATTCATCATGTCTAGTATCTGCTGAAGTCAGACAACAGAAGGACATGGAAAAATAAGCCTTACCATACCAGAGCAGTATTGTGTCCCAAGCTTGTTAACAAAATGACTCCAGATTTATCCTGTACATGCACAGAAAGGATCTTACCATCTAATTTTGGAGTGACAGCAGGAGGAAGATATAGAGGCAGACAAGGAGGAGCACATCTGATCTACATTTCACTGTGCTTTACAACAGCAATAACAAGTCATAATAATAATGGCTACTTGTGGCATATAGCAGTTTCAATGCATTTTAGGCATTTATGTGGCTTGTTCACATGGTATTTAAGTCCTCACCTCCAAGGGAAGTAAGTACATAAAATACAAGTAACAACTGAGAACTGAAGCACAGAAACACTAAGGAATGTTGCTCTGAATTATCTAAACATATGACACTAAACTATCCAGTAACTTACTTTAAGTCACATTGGAAGCAAAGGCTGTCCTGTGAACTGAGCCAAATTGAATGACTGCCATTTTAGTTCTCAATGAATGCACCCACACAGAAAGATAAAGTGGTTTAACTGGTCCACATGTTATTCACAACTGTAGTTAACATGGACTAACTTTCCTGAGTGCCCCATGTAGACAAGCCTCAAGAGTCACACAGGAAGTCTATAGTTAGGCAGAGCCAGGCTAGCACCTAGCCAGCAGCCCATCCATCCATGCTCCCTCCTTTTATTTTGCAATCGCAGACATTTTAAAAGCTGGCCTCTCTGTTTGTGGATTTGCACATATTCACCATTTGCTCCAACTGGATTTCTGTGTATACTGAAAACAGGGCGATGAGTCACAAAGGCTGCCTGGATTCCTCATTATAAGCCTACGTGAGGACACAAGCACAGCAAGCCTCACAGGAACTCAAGCCCAGAAGTAAAGGCTGATGGGAAAAAATCTGCTGCAATGAGCAATTAAAAAGTGACTGAAAGTTTATATTCTCCCTTGTCAAAAATATAAAGGCACACAGATCCCAGTGGTTACATTACAGCTGTGGAATCCTCTCCTCCCCCGCGCAAGTTCCATCGTTTAAAAATGAGAAAAGAAATCCAGTGCCTTAAAAGGAACATGTGCTGCTTTGATGCACTGCAGTCAATTAAAAATAAAGCGACTAGCAGGAAATGTGTTTTGATTTGCAATTGCCTAGAAACAGAACCTGCACATCTGCTGTTGTGAGGAAGGATCCACAGAGTCAGTAATAAATTGTACAATATCCAGCGAGTAGCCTGTTGGCAGGCTCTCTGCTGGAATAAAGAGAAGTCGCTCAGAATCTGTACCCGTAAGCTTAAAGGCCCAACCTCGACGCTAAAACCTTCCGAGGCTCCTTTGAGAAATCCAGCCTCAAGACTTTTGGGAGTAATTTGAGCAGTCTGGGCCAGAGACGTCAGGTAAGCACATTGAATCTTTATGATGCAGTGAAAAATACAGTCCTTCTGGCAAGGCTTCATGTTTTATACCTTCCTCATCCATTCTGCATGGAAAAACCATTAGCACAAAGAGGCAGAACTAAGAATCCTTCCTCATTATGGTCTGGCAGGTCCAATTCAAATACCACATGATTTTAGAATACATGCCATCAGGAAGCATGAGAGCCTCAGTGCATCAGAGGCCTCCAAAACCTTGTTTGAGGGGGGACCTACACTCATTTTTCCCAGTTCATCATATAAACCATCCATACTCTTAACCTTGAAGACATGTGCTGCTAAAGAACCTATTCACCTGGGAGAGACAAGTCAGAGAGCTCTATTCCCAGAGAGAAAATCCCATTTCTTTCCCATCCTGATTGTATGGGGAGGCCCTTTGACTTAATGTTGCTTGCAGACAAAATGTTCTGATGCATTTTTGCTAAGTGAGAATTCAGCAGTTGCAGTTTTTAAGTCAGTCACCATGGGGTTTCCTTACAGAGCACTCTCAAGAACTCAGTGTCCCGAGGTCACTGCCCCCTGTTGAGATCAGAATAATTTACATTAGCTCAATGAAGATGAGACATCCACTTTAAACCAGTTCAAAACATTTCTCATACTGGAGATAAGGTTGAACAGAGAAGGAGCCCAATTGTTTGAGCTACTGGTGAGGGACAAAAGGAGATAAGATTAGCTCCAATTTGCAGAAGGAGAACTGAGGCACAGAGAGATCACACAACTTGCCCAAGGTCACATATAGCACTTGTGGCAAAATAATTGAACCCATGTCACCCAAATCCTAGGCCCAGACCTTCAACAAGATCATCTCCTCTATCCAACAGCCATAAATTAGAGCCAATGCATTGTACTTTCAAAGAAAAGTATGTATATTGGATGTACCATAAAAGGTCTGACATATAAAAGAGGGAGGAGCTGCATATAACCATGGAATTCCTCTTTGTGGTACGCTGGGGTTTTCTGATACTAGAGCAATAGACAAGAAGGCAAACAAGCTGCTTGGAAAAGTCTCCCAGGGAACACTGCAAGGTTGCAAAACAAAAAAACCCAACTTGAATAAAAAGCATTGCAATCTCAGGAATGTAATTTAAAAGAACTGCTGGTTCATGTATTGCTTCTGCAGTTAGTCAGGCAGCAGACAAAGGAAGCATGCAATACCACATCCATTCCCAGAGAAGCACTGGGAATCCAAAGGAGCAGGATCAGAGTCAAGGACAGTGCATCAGTGTCAGAAATGGGAAGCCTGCTGACTCAGTGTGGTCTAGAGGACTGGTCATGACCCATGGGACTCCCTGCCCCCACCTCACCCACTGATTCACTTGGGCAAGTCCTTTTTCCTCTGTCTGCTGCTGGGTCGCTCTGTATTTCTCAGCAGTACACCACTAACATCTTTTTTGCCTCAGTTTCCCCAGCAGTAAAAAAAGAGCCAATGCTTCTCTGGGTGCATTGACAGGCTTAACTGCTTGGGCACAACTGAGATACTGTTACATCTATAACAACTATAAATGCTGTGTGGCTCTTTTCAAACATCCAGTCATTCATTCTGCCATTGCCTTTAAGGAGGCAGACTGGTTATCCTGTATTTTACAGATGCGAAAA